CTGTGACATTGATGGTTCAGGATCAGAAATTTCATCCTCTTCCTCGTCTGACTCAAGTGAGAATGATTCTGGTGCATCAGGAACCAGCAGTCCTCCTCCGTGGGGTACTGGGCGTATAGCTGATGGAATGTTTGTATAAAAGTGGACTGTGCATTTCTTCTTTGACACACCTTTCCCAACTGGAGGCACCATGCAGAAGTAACAATTGCTGGTATGATCTGTTGGCTCTCTCCAAATCATTGGCACTGCAAAAAGCATAGATTTCCTTTTCCTGTTCAACCACTGGCGAAGATTTGTTGCACAAGTGTTGCAGCATATGTGTGGGGCCCACCTCTTGTCCTGATGTCCAATTTTGCAGCCAAAATAAAGGTGATAGGCTTTCTTAACCATAGTGGTTCTACTGCGCTTTTGTGATGCAAAAGTCACTTCACCACAAACATAGCAGAAGTTATCTGCACTGTTCACACAAGTACGAGGCATCTCTGCTCACTTTGGCTAAACAGAAATGTTTCCCTTTGCAAAATCAAACACTGACAAATAAGAGAGCACGACACTGTATGACTTCTAGAGCTGATGTAGGGCAATTTGTTCAGCGGAGTGATGTAAGCTTCGTTATGATTGCATCATCCATGACTTCTAGGAATAACATGATGCAATTCATATCCTGTATGACGCAATACCAGCTTCAGATTGCATCATTCATTGTTTTGCCTAAAAAGCAAGTACTGTCCAAACCCAGTCATAGATTTATTCATAGATCCAGTCAAAGATGTATTTTAGTCATTTCTGGTTTAAATTGAGATCCCTTCCCTTTATAACTCACTTATCCTCCGCCATTCCCAAGTCGAGGGTCGTATATACTGACCCAATAGCATATCTTGAAAACTAGAGCCAATCAACAATTTTAAGCATCATTTTCGTTCTCAGTGACCCAGAATTAGTAAAGTTTGACTACATTTATTTCAGAAGCATTTTGGCTGTAGAGCAGTGTAATCAGCTATCACATATTAAAAGTATACTCTCCCTGGGCCCTACTAAAGTTTATTACATGTTAACTAACATTCCCATCACATACACCCTTTTGTCCTAGATAAACTCTCTTATGGTGAATAGGCTGAAAAGTAAACAAACTGGTAGTGCGCCATTGAAGTGGGGAAAGGCTAAATGTTAGCCAAGTGAAAATACAAAGCCAGGGAGAGAGAAACAGATTTATCTTTCTTTAAGACTGTATTACAAACTAATTGTTTTGAAGATGGCAGTATATTTAATTTGCAGATCCTTTACAAGGACATCACTTACAGCATGCTCCACACTATACAAGAGACAGGTGTCAAGACAGTCTCTGCTCTAGGGAGTGTAGAGTCTAGAAGATTTATTATAACTATACTAATTTTATTTCTTGATTAAATGGCGCTGTAGAGCTACTGGTCCTTTTTTTATGGAAGACAAGGAGTAAGTGAGCAGAGCAGCCTTTTAGGGCTTGGCTACCCTGGCATTTTATACCTCAATAAAGCCTCCCAGAGCGCTCTACCTTACTCCCCGTCCACACTGGCAAGGCATGTAGAGCGCTCTGACTCCCTGGCTAGAGCGCTCCTGGTACTCCACCTGCACGACTGCTGTGTATTGGCTGAGACGCCTCAGGGCCAGTGTGAACGAGGAGTTATCTGCAACGGCGTTTACTGAGTGAGTGAGAGAGAGGCAGGGGGGCTAGGGGGATCTGAACTTACAAGACAGCGTGCTGACACACTCTCAGCAATGCAAAAACCCACTCTCTCTCCCCCCACATACAAACAACACACTCCCCCCTCATTTGAAAAGCACGTTGCAGCCACTTGAACACTGGGATAGCTGCCCATAATCCAGTGCTCCCAATGCTGCCGCAAATGTGGCCACGCCAGTGCGTTTGCAGCTGTCAGTGTGGACAGACTTGGAGCGCTTTCCCTAGTGTGCTCTCCAAAGGCTGGTTTAACCCAAAGCGCTCTACAGCTGCAAGTGTAGCCAAGCCCTTAGTCACTGCTCATTTTTCTTGGTGGTAAGGGGAGTGAGGAAAAATGACCTCTCAGCCATTTGTGTTGAGATGGGGAGGGAGCAAGAAGCAGAAAAGTAGTGGGAGTCAAGTCCAGGTGGGATGGCAGCTCAGAATTGAATTATTTGGGGAAACAAGACTGATTCAAATATGCTGGATTTTTTGAGGGGAGTGGCAACATTTTATCTTTCACCTGGGTTGATCTGCTGAATACACCAACCCCAAGTCATCAGATTAAAAGAGCATTCAACCTCCTTTTCATTTCAGTTGTTTGTGGTCTGTTACCAGTGAGTTTTTTTTACTATGCTATCATGTGAAACGAACCATTCTTTTTTTACATTTATATTTCACCTTTAAAGGGAGATGATCTATACCAAGGGTAGGCAACCTATGGCATGCGTGCCGAAGGTGGCACGCAAGCTGATTTTCAGTGGCACTCACACTGCCTGGGTCCTGGCCACCAGTCTGGGGGGCTCTACATTTTAATTTAATTTTAAATGAAGCTTCTTAAACATTTAAAAAACTTTATTTACTTTACATACAACAATAGTTTAGTTCAGGAATCGGCAAGTTCAGTATAAGCCCCCTGGCGGGCCGAGCTGGTTTGTTTACCTGCTGCGTCCGCAGGTTCGGCCGATCGCGGCTCCCACTGGCCGCGGTTTGCCGCTCCAGGCCAATGGGGTTGCCGATCCCTGGTTTAGTTATATATTATAGACTTATAGAAAGAGACCTTCTAAAAACATTAAAATGTATTACTGGCACGCGAAACCTTAAATTAGAGTGATTAAATGAAGACTTGGCACACCACTTCTGAAAGGTTGCTGACCCCTGATCTATACTCTTCTTTAAACAGGTGCAACTAATTTATTCCATTGTTAGTAGTTCTTAGGCATTTGCACCTGTACTTCCTGCAGAATTTTCACTTCATGAATATTTTTGACTTTGTGTCGTTATCCTTGACAACTCACTGGGATTTTGTTAGTCTTCCAGTATCACTTATTGGTATGAATGGGCAAAGTACCAGTAATTGTTGTCAATTAATTCGTGCTCCTTCTGGATGGCTGTGCAGTAGCAAATAGAATCACGCATAAAAAGCGGTGTTTACATTGGTGACAGTGCTGCTGCGTTTAAAAACCAGATAACACAATCCCAACCAGATGATAATTTTAAAACATGAGGCAAAGGTGTGTAGCTTTTTCAAGTGTAATTGTGCTTAACATATGTATAAGTCACCTCAAAGAAGTGTATGAAAATTTTAAACAAATATAAATAGAACTGCCTTTGTCTGTATTTGGACTCTCCTCCTCCACTTTTTGCTGTATTTGTCTCTGCTGCTTACATCATAAGCAGATGAGTTTGCTTTTTTTCTTCCAGGCATATTCCTCTTGCTGGCAATGTGCAGAACTTTCACAATGTAATTCTTCCAAAGTGATATGCCATTTCTCTGTAACAGGAAGCCAGGCAGGAGGGACTCAAATAAGTTTTAGAGGGAAGCTCTACAGTTAACAGGGGGGTCAGTGAGTGTAGCTTTATGGGTAATGCTGTTTTATTTTTCTAATAAACTTCCTCTTTTGAAATAAAGCTGCTTTCTGTGATTCACTATTATCACATGACAAAAACTGTGTGGAGGAGGAGGGAAGGGTGGTAAATGTGAGTTCAGAACACAGCTTGTACCCTGGAAGGGGGAGTGGCTCCTAAGCAGTTGCGTGTACAGTTTCTATCAGAGTGAGCTCATAATGGAGAGAGCCACCCTGCCCCCCCCACCCTCCTAAAAGGGCAGGGAAGCAAGATAAAATATACAAGCAAGAGTGGGTATAAGACTCATCTTAATTCTACTTTTCCCCCCAGAACAAGTGATATATAAAGGAGAAGGAAAGAGGGATAACATCAAAATATACACATCTGTATAAATATCTGTAATTTTCATTTTTTAAAAATACACAGCTTTCCCTGACAGCCCCTTTGCCAATCCATTATCAATTGGCCAATTTCTTGTAGGTATGAGTGATGAAGGGAAGGAGAGGGAATGGGTGTGTAGGGTGAGTCCAGTGAATAGTGATTGCAGAGGTATGAGGAGAAGCATTGAGTAAGTTGGGATTCATGAGTTTGATTGGTGGAGAGAATGCATGACTGTTTCAGTTTTAGTGGCAGAATTGAGTGAGTGAATGTGGGCAGGTAGTGGAGAAAAGAAGGTGTGAACTGAGGGAAAAGGAAAGCTCGAGGGGAGAATGGAGCATGGATGTTGAGGGAGGCGGATGTCAGGTTTTCCATAAAAAAATGGAAGGGAAGAAAACAGGAGAAAGTGAAAAGGGAAAGAGCAGTTTGAAGTGAGATACATACTGGTAAAGATGGAAGGGAAAAATATATCAGAATTCTTGAAAGGAAAATAGAAGTAAAGGGAAATGGCAGCTGCCAAATCTCTTGGGACATTAAGAACTGTAAATGGCAATCAGCTACAAAATAGTCTGAAGAGAACAATCCTGCACTGACTTAGTGGGCTGGATGACTTGATAGGTCTTTTATGTCCTATTACGTGTATAAGAGGGTGTACTGACTGTTTTTTTCACCCTAGATGTATGTATTTTGACTTCACATCAGAAGCTGCTTGTTTAATCACTTCAGCAATTTTCCTGTTCACCTGAGGGAGTTTAATTCTAATTCATTAATGGATTTATTTCCCATTGAGATGATCATTAAAAAGTCTAGATGAGAGCCTGTTGATGGAAATTGAAGAGGGGTCAGAAATGAAATTATCTTTACTGTAAATGGAATCAGTGAACATACGCTAGTTCATTGGAAATCTTAACATTTATGGTATCTAGACTTGTGACTAGAAATCTCTTGTAATGTTAGATAGGAAAATGTTTTATCTTTTTTGGATGTGCTTTTCAAAATGTTTGCACAGGCATGGAATTGCCACAAAATTTAAACACATGCAGAGGAAAATTCAAATAATATTTCTGTTTTTTCCTAGAACACATCAGTAATGGAGGATCAGAATGAAGATGAATCTCCAAAGAAAAATACCCTATGGCAGGTACGACTGAGGTGCCCAAGGGAAGGCAGTAAATGATATATAGATAGTTGGCATTATTTTCAATATTTCTGCCTTTGAGAAAGCTTGCTCCTGCAAATTGAATGTCCCACTTATGCATAGTAGACTTGATGCCATCATATATTTAGCTCAAAGTGGAGTCCTCAGGTAGAAGATGACAATGATGGACAATTTATATGACTTGTTCTTTCCAGATTTTTAAAACTTTCTTCTCTCTACCTTGACATGAGACAATTTCATCATCAAAACATGCATTACAGTACAAATTCATAAAATAAAGACACAGTGCAATGGCCATAAATGGAAAGAACAAGGTCTAACACTGCCCTACCACTGCAGGAAAACTGGCTGTGGTGAAATATGCATAACAGATATTGTTCTCTAGAGGAAGGTGAGTGTGTATTCCAAGCTTACTGCCTTTATGCTCTGAAACACAGTTCCTTCCTGACTCTGGATTTAATTTGTTCAATTATTGCCAGATAGTAATCAGTCATCTCTCCTGAGAAGTTCAACCTGCTATATGGAATGCGGCTTAGACTAGAGTTGACTCTAAAACAAGGAGGAAGTCTTGTGTAAAGTCAGTCACATGTTCTCGGCCTGAGAGACCAGCAATCCGTAAATCTATGGATTTATTTCAGAGTAAAATAAACAGTCAAAATTACCTGTCCATAAAATCTTGTCCTTTTAAAAAAAACAGATGATAGGGCAACTTCTCCTTGTGTGCTTATGTTTTTATATTTAAATGGTCATCTCCCTAGCTATGAACTTTACTCCCTATACAAGAGGAATAATCCAAAAGATGGTGTAGTGTATAACTATTATCATGTATAAAGAAGCGGTAGATGAATAAAATATGGAATGTCAGTAACAAATGCTTCTTGAGACATTGCTGCTCAAACCTTAACCTTTTAGACCTGGTCACACACCACATGTGCAGAAACTTTATGCTTTTTTTCTGTGGAAAAGTAAAGGGAAGAGGAAGAAAACCTTTGTGATATGTGCGACTGCTTGGTTACATACTCCCCTTCAATTCTGTTCTCTTTATTTTCCCTTTCTGGATGGTGTTTGTAGCCATGTTTGTATCAAATCTTCTCTGAAAGCATTTGGGGCTACAAGCAATCCCTTACTTGTTTAGTTCTTTCCTCCCTTATGTTTACTACCTGTGCAATTTTGGTGTCTTGCAAATTTGAGGTTTGCTCAACTTGTACACCAGAGCAACACCCAGCAAAGAAACGCATGAAACAACCACTCTGCTCGTTTAAGTGGTATTTATTCTTTAGTTTCAAGAGGCTTTTGGAAACTTAAGGAATCCTGGAGCAAACTGAAATTAGCAGTAAGTATCACTCCTTTTCCTACAAACTCTGCAGACCTACCTTGAAATGCTCTGTGGATCAATTTGCACATCTAAGGGTATGTCTACGCAGTCAACATTAAAGTGCAGCTGCGGCAACACTTCAATGTGGCTGTGTAGTCACGAGCGCCAGGAGACAGCTTTCCCAGCGCTGTAATAAAACCACCTCTGTGAGGGGAATAGCTACCAGTGCTGGGAGCATGGCTCAGAGCGCTGTAGCACTATCTACACTGCCACTTTACAGCACTGAAACTTTCATTGCTCAGGGGGGTGTTTTTTCACACCCCTGAGTGAAGAAAGTTTTCAGTGCTGTAAGTGGCAGTGTATACAAGGCCTAAGTGTCTGCATATAGCATAGTGGATTAATGCATAACTGTTTTAGATCTGGAAGCTCTAGTCTCACATTTTCATGGTACAAGTGAAGCCTAGCCTGATGTCAATATACTGTTGTTCCTAGTGGAGCTATCCTGTTTCTTGCTATCACACTTCCTGCCTAAACTCCAGGATGTCTTGTCATCCTATAATAGTGCTTATTATGTGATTCAAACACTAGGTGGCGGTGTATGCACAGTGATGGTTAGAAATTCTTACCAAATATTGAGAATGTTTGGTACCAAGAAGTATCATGGAAGTAGGCAGTATGGCCTTGAACTCTTTCTTCTACTCTTGAGTGAAAAATTTAACATCTGTATTCTGTAGTGGTGTGTCATCCATGGCAAGATCTCTTACGGCACCCAAGTGGAAAATTAAAAACCAAAGTCCCATTTAATGGTCCTAGGTGTTGGCATTTGCACACCCTCAGGTGGCAGGAGTGGGCTGTCGTTAAGGAAAGGATCTATAATTTACAAATTCCTGTCAGTTTTCAATGATGGGGCAAGAAATGGGCAGTGCAACTTTTAATTTTATATTTCTAATTATTATCAGCACTTTGCCTTTTTCCCGATTTGTGTTGTATAATTACATCCGTTGAAACCAATGGAAGTTGTGGAAGGAATACAGCAGTAGAAAGTAATGATGTGAATAAGAGCCTTCCCGCTATGTTGATTGAGCACTTCAGTATTTCTTTAAATAATTGTAAATGGGAAGAGATTTTTAGTTTTTCAGTGTAATTGATCATTTATAATTATATAAGAAAAAAAATTTCAGTAATCTCATCTATGAAAGCAGAATGTCAAAGTTAATCTTTTTGCATAGATGATCGCTTTTATTATAGACTTTGATGCACTTCCTTGCATTCTCAGCCCCTTTTTCAGAGTTCAAATTACTCTTACCTGACTCTGCATGCTGATATTTAAGTATTGACTATTTTATCTTTTCTAAAAATAGATAAGTAATGGAACTTCATCCGTGATAGTCTCAAGGAAGCGACCATCGGAAGGAAACTACGAAAAGGAAAAAGACTTGTGTATTAAATATTTTGACCAGTGGTCTGAATCAGATCAGGTTGAATTTGTGGAACACCTTATTTCACGAATGTGTCACTATCAGCATGGACATATTAACTCTTATTTGAAGCCCATGTTACAACGGGACTTCATCACTGCTTTACCAGGTAACAAACGTATCTATAAGTATTGGGAGATAAGTGTATATTTTGCTATAGATAAATTTAGATTATAAATAGTGTACATTTTTTTGGACAGCCACCATATTTTTATTTTCTCCTATTGGGTAAATACATACTAGAATAACTTGTCAGCCATTTCTGTGATTAATTGAACTGGCCACTGGATGCCAGTATTGTTCCACATAAATACAGTTTAACTAGTATGTTTTAAAGAGCAGTCTGTGTTTTACTTGGATCTGAATTATTGTAAAAGTTGCTTCTCAGTTGCAAACTTCATCCTAGATTTCTTTTCCATACCAAACCCTCTAATGTAGAAAATACCATTAGCCTTCATGGCTTTGATTTGTGAAGCCTATACTGCATTTTTTTGTTTTGTCCTAGGTTTTTCACATATTTTTTAAAAGTGAACTGAAATCTTAAATCTGTCTGCTTTGATAAACTAGTCTAGACATCTGGGCTTTCTTGCTACTGACTTAATCAAAAATTAATTGTAAATTTTTTTTACAGTTCAAGTTTGGTTCTTTCTTCAGTATTTTGTATATTAACAGACTGTTCATACCTGTGCATACTTTATGCAAGTCCACAAAGAGGATGGAGCACTACTGTTCCAGGTGCATATAATCCCTCTAGCTTTAGACTTTTTTCTGCTTGGCAGGCAACTTATATTTCACAGTTGCCTGCGCAAGAGCAACAAGGATTGGTTGGTTTCCTGGATTTTGTTCTGATTTCTGATAGTGAGAGGCAGCTACTTTTTAAAAAAATATATATACATTCAGCATGTGGTGATTTATTAATAATAATAATAAATAAAAAAGTAGATACAATAGAACCACTGCAGGATATGTTGGATATGAGAAAAACCACTTGTCTTTTAGGAATTCAAGAAACCTCCTGATGGAGGGGTCCCTAATAGTTGATGGTGTTTAACAGTAGTTAATGAAACATTGAGACACTGTTCAGAACCTGGTCTACCCAGCCATTGGAAAAGGCTGCCAATTTAAATCCAGGCCGTTATGATGAAATTGACACGAGTCAGTCAAATAAATTTGCTTCAAATGCTGTTAGTATAGGGTTAGGAGTTGCTCTACCTAATAGCTGTCAGTTTTCTTTCTTTGTAATCTTGCTCCTCTCCTAGCCTTTCACATTCTCCTGTCTTCCCGTATTGGTATATTCTCTCTCCCTTGTTTGCTTTGACCATCTGTTGTTCTGTCCTCTGCATTGAGCAGTCATAGAAACAATAGCTAGAATACCAGATTGTTATGCACATCATTGTACTTATTATTTGTCAGATGACACCAGCACAACACACCAGGTTTTCTGATGTTTGAATCAAACAGGCCTGAGCTACTGAGAAACTGATAGTGACAGGCAGCTGATTGAATTGATGCAGTGCTGAGGGGGCTAATCTGTCAGAGCTGGATGACCATAAGAACTCAAGCAGCGCTATTCTTGTTTTCCTTCTGTCTATCCTTTTCCCAACTAAAATTGTAACTGCTTCCCTCTAGGCATGCAGGATATTATTAAGACCTCAGCATCTCTGGGAAACCTGAAAACCTAGTAAGGGACACCATAGAAACTAAAAGGAAAGGAGACGAGAAAAGATGCTAGGAGCCAATGATGTATTATGAGATGGAATCTAATTTTGATTATAAACATTCATGTTGGTATTTTACTTAGTTACTTATACATAATTCACTTATTTCAAATCTTCATATAAGGGTTCACTACCAAAGTGGTGGTGGTTTGTATTACAGTAGTGGCTAACAGTCCCATTTGAGATTGGTGCCTCATTGTACATACACAACAGTAAGAAACAGTCCCTATCCTAAATCATTTGCAGTCTTGAGACAAGACAAACGGATGAAAAAGCAAGTAGTATCCCCATTTTACAAATGGGGAGCAAAGCAGTGAAACCAACCAGGTACATGTCAGTTTCACTCTGCTGTTGCCTACATTTTTTTTCACTGGGCAGAGAGAATTTTCTACTTGTCCCAGAGGTGCCAGCTCATATTTAAAGTGGATGCCATTCCAACAGGCCAGGTGAGGGTCTGGGCTTCAGCAGTTGCGGACAAAGTGGGAGTGAAGGAAAAAAAGGGAAATTAAAAAACTGGACAAGAAAAAAATACAGAAGGAAAAAAGGTAGAATATGAAGGGAAGGGGGAAAGATGAGATCAATATTATGAGAAGTTAGCTTTGTACAAGATTTTTTCAATCTAATTTAATTGTGGGTTGCTTCTTTCCAGTGAATTTCCTAGCTTTTTCTGCAGAAATGACCCCGCTCAGCTTTTAGATACTATAGATCTCCTGCCCCAGTCTCCTTTTTTAAAGTGGATATCTGCTTTATATTTTCCTGGGAGATATTTAAAAAGTGTGCAACTTCAAAATCAGGCCTGCCTGGTCAAGGCATTTATACAGTGTGGTCTTCAGTTAAGAAAGTGGATTTTTGAACACAAGTTTGAGTTTGCAGCTGCTTTATCTTGAACTTCAGTGTAGAATCTAGATACCTATTACCAAGATTTGTAATGATCCAGATCACTTATTCATATAAAAGAGTGCTATAAGTCCTCATATTTACATATACACATTTATATTTATTATATATATTATATTAAATACATTAAAATATGTCTTCCAGTGTTTGACTTTCTTTTTCTCATTTCCCCCCTACCTTTCCAAAAATGGCATACCAAGGCCAATGCTTATATTTTTCTGGTCAGTTGCAGCCAAAGTTATCCTGTAAGTTAGTTTGTTGGATTGTATTAAGATGATTTAAAATGTTTGCTGCCAGCAGCTTTTATTGTCAATAAAACAATGTACTTAAAAAAAAAATCTTCCTATCAGACAAATATTGACCATGTGAGCATGAAAATTAATGTACATTTTGGATTCAGACTTCTGTTGGAAAATGTTTGACATTTTCAGAAAATAAACGTGGCAATTACATTCAAAAATGTTAATAAAATGCTAACTTCAAGTCCTGTTTGAAGATAACATTCCTCTAAGGAGTTCAGTGTCTCCACACACAGTGGTCAGCTTTGCATGGTTGCTTTTTTGTTCAAAAAATGATTGTTGATGTTTCTGACAGCTGTAATGCAGACATGACATTGAATGAAGCAGCTTTATGGTACAGTATTAATTGGGCTTGTCCTAGGGTTTAGCTTTTTTAGTGTGATTGGAGAAAATCTCATTTTTTTTAAATGTATTTATTTTTAGCTACAGCATAAACACTGAAAGCTTTATTGGGAAAAAATAGGGTTGTTTTCCTTCTTGACCTTGAATTTGGCCTTTCTTTCATCCTGTCAAATCATTTTTGTATATTGCATTTGCTATAAGCTTCTTATACAAAGTGTGTTTTGTCATGCACAGGAAAACACTATCTTTTTAATCTAGCAAACTTTCCTTTTTGAAAGGATATCAGAATAAATATTGGGGAATACTAGAAGAAATGTTTTTATACTAAATATATATGGAGGCGGAGCGGAAATGTCCACTTAGAGGAATCTAATGGAGGTGGCATAGATGATGATAGAGAATACCCACCCCAGATATATTGACACAAATGTTGGCATCCTCTAGCTTTGTAAAAGACAGGTTTGACATAATCCACACCATGAATCATTAAAGATCTGGTTATTAACGATATTTAGGCACCACACCTAAATACCTTTAAAAAGCTGGTCCTAAATTTTTAGGACTGTTTTTTAACTTTGTCATGTAGAAATGTATTCTCTATATGTAAAGGGTTTTTACTAGCTAATGAAAGAGGTTTTTTCTTTGTTTTGTTTTTTTTAATTTCACGACTTAAATGCAGGTTTATTTTACTCTTGTGTATTGTGAAAATGCCTAGAATTGTGATTTTTATTTTACCCAGCTTTTCTGGAGATATTTTAAAAATTGTGTACTAGGTGTATATGGTATTTGTCTGGCATCTGTGCAAACATACTTTATTGTCCTATCACCGTGTGAAGATTCTTATCCACTCATTCATTCAGAACAACTTGCCATTTTAAAATTGATTAGTTATTGCTTATTATTAAAGATCTCCACTGAAATTGTGGAACACGTGGAGCGCAAGGGTTTGTTTTGTGCATTGTAACTTGCAGGATCAGAGCGTATATGCTAATTAGTCTGTATATGTTAAAATATAGATTCCTCTTTATGCAATGTTCCAGTTGTAACGTTTTACATTGCTATTCCTTATGCTTTATAGTTAGAAGTAAGGATGTTGGCTTAGAGAGCTGCGATTATGAGATCTTGCCATACCTGAACCTGTGATATGTGAAAGCTATTGATTCTAACCATTTTAACACTTTCTGCAAGATATAAACTGTATGGCATTGTTCAATGCTAGGGCATATATTGTATGATGTTTCTTTTCCTTTAAGACAAATTTTATTTTTATCCTCATTCTTGGAGACAGATTAATTCCATAAGAATTTAAGACACTAATTCCTTTATTTCTGTAATTATTTTAAAATAGGAAGTTACTATACTGAATACTTGTCAATTAGAGTCTTTAACTTTTTGCAATTTGTAGTAGACTAAAAATCAGAAATAACAAATACAAAATATTTATTTTTATCTTGTTTAATTTACCCAAACAAGTCAAACTAAGTTCAAACCTCTTTGAAACTTTTAGTCTTTCTAATCACTTATGAATGACTTTCATAATAGAAGTTAATCAGATCAATTGCAAACATTGCCATTTTGGTTTCAGTTGTACAGGAAATGGATTAAAAATGGCAGAATTGCATAAGGGATTTAGAGAAATTACTTGAAAATTTATTACAATTTCTCTTGTACCTAGATACCAGAGTATAAGGAGTGAATAGCTCGAAATAAGTATTAAAATTATTCTGGGTCTGTGATGTGCATGTTCAGATCTTCAGAACATAGTTTGCGGTGCACAGCATCTTTTGTAAACCTTTGATCTCTGGGAAGAGCTGTAGCAAAAGGCTCACTGAAAATTAAGCATATCAAAAAGG